GCGGCAGCGGCAGGGGCGGGCAGGGGGCTGGGGATTTTTCTCTGGCATCCGCTGACAGCTGCACAGACCGGCCGGGCGTTCCGCCGGGAGCGCGCCCTGCCCAAAACTTTCCCCGGTTCCTCTCCCAGCCTCGCCAGGGGCCACCGGGATTGGTGTCAGCATCCCTGCCGCCCGCCCGCATCCTCCCCGTTAAACCGGTGATGCTGGCGAGGGCTGAGGTGCACCCCGGGTGGTGATAACCTCTGCTTGGCGCAGGCTCTCCTTTCCAGAGCCAATTCGTGGTGTTCTGCTCTCCTGTGGCGTTATAATATCATTTCATGAGGTTTTGGGGGTGGGTTTTTTTTTTTTGTCTTTTTAAGAGGACATCATTTCTACCATAGAGCCATATGTACCTATGTAATAGGCCAGATTCATCCTTGGCTGATACACAACCATAAGTAATTTGAGTCGATCTCAGTTTAACTTTCTTGGCCCAGTATCTTTTCTTTCTTTGTGTATGCTTTTAAATTGGCTTCTTCCTTTGTGCTGCTTAGCTCTGGGGATCAAATTCTTCTCTTGGTTGCACAGAATACTTACGTGAGTATAAGTAATGTTGCTGGGTTGAGAGTAGAAAGAAGGGTGGAACTTAACCTCATAATAGTACTTTCTAGCTATTAAATATATTAAGGCTGTCTTTGTAAGCAATATGCTATTCCAAATAAGGTTATATGGATTAGTTCTCTTGGTTGCAAGTCTTAATCAAAATCAGCTGACTTTAAACACTGTTTTAAAACCACAGCTAGTCAGTGGTCTTGAGAATCTCTGCTTTTAATTCAGCTTTGATGTGGATTTATCTAGCTTCGTTGACTTTGCTGGTGTTGTACTCACAGTGTCATTAAGGTCTGATATTCCTTTTCTCAGATCTCTGTGTAATAGAGCATCATTTGATTAATACCTGTTTTACCAAGGTAGGATTCATCTCCCATAACTCTTCTCAGGTTAGGTGGCCAGTCTGAAGCAGTCTTCTAGGCTTTTTCTGTAGTCATCTCCAGAGAATAATTCCTCTTGCCTCTCTCTGGATAGGCTGAGTTTCTCTCAAGGCGCTGCTAATTCTCTGCTGTCAATGGGGGAAGCTGGTATATGACAGTTGCTTGTGTTTTAGATGGCTAAAGTTAAATGAGATTAAACCCACTTCAGGGTTACAGTGGTGCCCTGACTGGATACCTGTTGTACTGGGCTTTATGCAACCCACAGCTAGAGATATTGCACAGCCAAATGCAAGCTGATGAACAGGGCTCTTCAGAAGATGCTTGGAACCACCATCTTCTCAATTTCATGTTATAAATCTTGGTTCATCATATTAGCCTGCCCTTCTGCCGTTTACTGCTCGTGGTGGTTTTGGCATACAAGTACATAGTTTATGTGCTACTTGATGTTTTATACCCTGCAGTGCACCCTGTAATGCATAAATTATCATGTTAATTCAGACTAAAGAAGCCAGAAAGCCAACTAAGATATGAGCCTCAGTTTCTATCCGAATCCCTAGTTTGTAGCTTTCTGGCAAGGATGTTCCTCAATAATTGGTCTCATTCATATTTTTAAATTCTTCTGAGCCTGGTCACTCACTCTGGCCAACATTACTTGAGAAATCAAGGGTAGCCGTTTTAATATGCCATTGGCATCTAATTGAGCCTGGAAAATCTTCCCCCAGCTTTTAGTGCCTTTGGCAGTACCTAGAACAGGTAAAATGGAAATGGTATTCCAGTGGCAAGAACATAATTTAAGCTTTGCTTTCAGAATGAAAATTGTAGGAGGCTTTTACTAGGACTCCGTGTATCACTGCTTTACTGTTGTCCAGTGCTACAAAATTAAACTGCCTTTGCCTGTGAAATTTGTTTTAAAACTCTTCCCGGCTAATTAGAGCTGTCTTGAGTGAAAGGCATTAGAAATGTGAATACAAACGGGATTTTTTCACAATGTCAAACTAAGACTTTATTTGAAAAATTGTAACAAAAACATTCTGGGAATTTTAAGGCTATAATCCATGAAGTTTTGACAGTCCTTTTGCACTTACAGAATGTAAATGCATATATAATGCCCACACATATAGGGAAAATTACATAAGGAAAAAAAATACTCAGCATAAAAACTAAATAGGAGCCAAGGTGGCACCTTCTACCCTAAACCATACCCATTATTGTCTTGGTTATTAGTGGTTTGATAAAGTGTGGTCAATACAAATCTCAGTCTGGTATTTTCCTCTTGAAAGATAAACATGCCTAACCACACAGATTAATCAGAGAAAATAAAAGAATAACCTTTTGTAATTTTAACAGGACGGACATTTCCAAAGAAGGGTCAGACGTGTGTGGTGCACTACACAGGTAAGGCACGTTCTGAATATTCTGTTGATACCAACTGCCTTGTGTTCAAGAGTGATTCACCATTTAAAGGGTGTGTTGTATATTTTGCTTTGTTCTGTGACTCATAATCCATTTGATTATATTTTAATGGGTTTCATGTATATGTAATTTCTAGCTAGCAGTTCTAGCTACAGCATCTAGATGTGCATGCTACCAGGTCTGCCAAGTGTAGTGCTCAATGGTGAGAGGTTAACAGATGAAGATGAGGACCTGACTCTTTAAACCATTATCCTAGCTGATGAAACCAGGCATGAAACAATGAAAATGCTGGGTTCCTATTTTTCCAGCCTCTGATCTTGATACAGATAATTAATGATTGTATGTATCTTAAAAGCATGTGTCTATGTGTTGGCAGTAAAATTCATTCCAGATTGAAGAGATCAATAGAAAGTCTATTTAAAAGCTGCTTTATAGACTTGTGTGAATCTTGAGTGGTGAGTTAGTTAATGGAGCTGTTTATGCTGCACCTTTGTGCAGGGGGAAAATGTCCTTTAAATCAGTTTGTAACATTATATTTTGTATGCAGTTATGTAAAGCGTCAAAAAAATGCAAAAATCTCTGCAGTCTGAGTCCTCAGCTGGGAAGTTCACATCAAGAGATACCATTTTATGAGGTCTTTTCCTTAAGAAGGCAAAATGTAGGTGGTGTGGGGATTGACAGCTACTGATCCAAGTCTAGATCTGTGAGGTAATGTTTTCCTCTGGTGTTCAGTATTATAGGAAAGTTCTCACTGGTAACTGTTGTTTCTTTCAATTTTGTACTTGCTTGTGCAGTTTACACCCAGAGCAAGGTGGGAGCATTTTCCAGTTAATATAACTAATGAAGTCAACCTATTTCTGTTTTCAAGAAGCTTTTTGATGTAGTTTAAATAATATCACTCTTCAGAAGGTTATATCATAGAATCATAGAATTGTCTAGGTTGGAAGGGACCTTTAAGATCACCTAGTCCAACCACCAACCTAACTCTGATGAAAAAAAACATCACTAAACCATGTCACTAAGCAGTATGTCAGCCCATCTTCTGAATACCTCCAGGGATGGTGACTCCACAACTTCCCTGGACAGCCTGTTCTAACGTTTGATAACCCTTTACGTGAAGAAATTTTTCCTAATATCCAATCTGAACCTCCCCTGGTGCAACTTCAGGCCATTTCCTCTTGTCCTGTCGCCTCTTGCTTGGGAGAAGAGACCAACCCCGACCTCTCTACACCCTCTTTTCAGGGAGTTGCAGAGAGGGATAAGGTCTCCCCTCAACCTCCTTTTCTCCAGGCTGAAGAACCCCAGTTCCTTCAGCTTCTCCTCATAAGACTTATTCTCTAGACCCCTCACCAACCTCGTTGCCCTTCTCTGGACATGCTCCACCACCTTAATGTCTTTTTTGTGGTAAGGGGCCCAAAGAGTTACTGCAGTGGTTTGGGATATAGGATATCTGGGTTTAAGCTCCTGTATTTATATTCAGAGTATTTTGATCTCATGAGGATTTCTAGTTTGAATTAGAAGTTAAACACATGGGTCTTCCATGCCAGTCTCTGCTCTTACAGACGTTCCTCTGTAACTTAGATCTGAAAATAGATGTTTTCAAACTATTTTTGTGGAGAAGCTGAAAGATATGTTTTTGTTCCGGTCCAAACTTCAAAAGTTTTTATGAAATAAAATTGTCACCTCCCACCCCCAGTTAGTTTGAGATAAATTTAAATGTCAGAACTGAAACAGGCAAAAAAATTTGAGGCTGGTGGCTCCCACAAAATACAGTTTTGCTGGATAATTTCAGAGAGAGTGTGAAGGGTAGATGTGGGAAGATAACAAGATGCTGCACACTCTTACTGATATTAGATACCATCTTAGATGAGGCTCTCATAAGCTGGCTTTGACATGAAAGACTATGAAAACTCATTAAATCAATCTTCAACATAAACTGTGCTTCCTCCATATATCTTGCCATTGGTGCTGTGCAACTGCTTCAACTCTCAGATTAGAACAGATCTCAGAAAACCCCCATCATCTCCGTTCCGGTGCTTTTGCAATATCGAAGCAGTCTTTGGTGGTAATATTTTTAAAGGCAGCTTGTGGTTAGTGGATAAAGTGTTTTCTTCCAGTGGTCTGTAAAGCATGTGGGGAAGATGACATATGAATGTCAAGTTTTAATTTAAAACTGTTTTATCTGAATACAATATAATTTCTTTATGTACTGATGCCATTCCGGATATGCCTGGGATTCATCTTGAGATGGTTTCTGTCTTATTTACATGATCTCATTAGACCTTGCTGTACTCAATGCTTGTCCTCAGTACACTCCTGCGAGTCCTGCTTTAGGAAGTGGGTAACTAAGTTACAGAGATGTCCACAGAGATATCCAGAACGTGTCTTGTCACATAAATGAGAGTTAGGAAAAATTAAGACACCTAGGTACAAGGACATGATCCAGAAATCCTGCTTTCCAGAGCTACTTAATATTGGGATCGTGTAAAGCTCACAGGTTGTCCTCCCCACATTCAGTCCACATGTCACTCTGGAGCTAGGCACAGATACCTGCTGGGAGGTGGTGTGGTCTGAGAAGTGAGGGAATCGTGCACTGACTGGACTCTACCAAGATCTAGAGATCATTTGGATCCTAAGAGGAACCTGACCTCACTTGGTGCTCTGAGCAAAGCTCTGAATCCAGCATCAAGCACAGCAGAGATGGCCACTTTCAGTCAAAAACACGGCCTGTGGGAGCCCACTTTATGTATGATAACTCAACAGTTGTTTCAGGCACGGCAAACCTACACTCAGTTGCCTTTTCCAACAGAAGAGGGTCGTAGCTCTGTTTGTCACATCCTTAACTGCAGCCTTTATGTTCTTGGGGAGGAGGAAGCTGCAATTTCCTGCTCCTTCCAGTTTAGCTTGGGACATTCTGCCATGAAGAATGCAGGAGCCATGGGCAAGAAAAGGAGCAGGCAAGAGGGTGAGTACTTGGTATTCCAGTCCCTGTCTTCAGGGATGAATTTTGTGCTTTGTTTTTAATCCAGTGATTTTCCCATACAGTGGTGCCTGGTCTTGACAGCTTGGTAGGCCATGGAACTTCTTGCAGTGGACCTTGCTCTGGTACCAATGCACACACTGTGTGGCGATACAGCTCCTTAGCACAAACATGGTTGGTTCCATGATTCCCTGAAGGGCTAGAGGACATGCAGAGAAAAAGCATGTCCACTAGTTATTCATTCTCAAGAGTTTCCCGGAAGGAGGAGGAGACTACAAGGGGCTTGCTTCTGCCAGAGCAAGTTACGAATTTTTAAGGAGACTCAAACAAGGAGTGGGCTGTGGGCTCTACTCTGTCTTAATTCCCCGTCTTGCCCTCTCTCTGCAGAAGTCTCATTGATGTGCATTTACTGTGTGATAGGGGTGATGGCAGAGAGCACAGACAGGAGGGGACTGCTGGCACTACAGGAATAAAAGGCACGTGGCTCGCTTCCAAAGCATCTTTGGGTTTTTCTTTAGAATTCTTTTTGATTTTTAGGAGCAAACTGCCTGCATGACTTGTCCTGGCAGTCCATGCCAAAGAAGTCCAGAGATGACCAAGGGCTGGTACCCTAGATGTTTGGCAGAACTTCGTAGAGTCCTGTCCGCTCATCCTCCAGGATCTTATGATTCATGCATTGCCAAAGCGGAAATCAGCAGGGTAGTTTCTAGTCTGACGACCCTACGTGTTCCAGAGAAGTAGGAGGTGGGAACTGGAATCTCCTCAAGATGAAGGAGAACTGTGATTGAGTTTTACACTTCCGCTGTCAGCACTTCAGCTATTAGGCTGTTACATGTGGCAGCTTTTTCTCTTTCTCTCCTTGTTTGACTAGATCCATAATCTGAGGAGCAGGCTTTGTGGTCTGATCCCCGATCCCCAAATGTGTTGTGATGCATTAATGCTTAATGGACACACTTAAGTTCCTATTTTCCCTTTTTTTTTTTTTTTTTTT